CAGTAATGATGGTGAACCGCAATCCGAAAAGGCACTTGTGCAATCGTCGAACAGCCCAAAATACAGCCAACGCTTCTTTTTGAGTCTGTGAGTATTCCTTATCTGCCGCATTGAGTAGACGTGAAATGCAGATCACTGGGCATCCTTCATGTTTTAATACAGCACCGATTCCGACGTCAGATGCATCGGTGATGAGTGTAGTCGGTTTTGAAGGTGAAAACGGGCGAGAACAGGACGCTCAGTAACGCAGCGAATTGAACCACGTAAGATATCTTCACATTCCGCCGACCATTCCCAAGCGTCTGAACACTGAGCACGGAAAAGCGGCTGCACGCTTTTAGCAAACTTCGGGATGAATCGGGAATAATACTGTAGGCATCCCATCACGGATCTCAAATTCGTTTGATCTTTTGGAGATTCGATGTTAGTCAATGGTTTGAAAAGTGTCGGATCGGGACGATATCCACGGGAATCAACTGTGAATCTTAGAAACTCCAACTCACTTACTCCAAACACACACTTGGAAGGCTTGATAGCCACGTTTCTGGAGGCAAATCGTTCCAGTACCTGCGTAAGCCTGTCATCGTGTTCTTTCTTATTAAGGCCGAAAATGAGGACGTCATCTTGATAAGCAAGCACACCGTCGAGTCCTTCGATTACGCTGTCTATTGCCGATTGAAAGAGGCCAGACGACACACGCAAACCGAATGGGAGAGAATTGTACTGATACATTCCCCACGGCATGTTGATTGTTGTCAAGTAGCGAGATTCGACATCGAGTGGAATCTGTAGGTATGCATCCGCCAAATCGATCTTCGAAAAATACTGGCACCCATGCAATGCCTTCATGAAATCCTCTGGTTCCATGGTGGTCGCTGCACATCTCCGCAGTCGAGGGTTCAAAGTCAGTCGATAGTCTCCACAGATCCGCGGTGTCCTACCATCGCTTTTCATCGCCACAACAATCGGGGTCGCCCAGGCACTGGATTCAACTTTGCTGATCACGCCATCCTGTTCCATCTTCTGTATTGCTTTCAGGACACCTTCCCGCTGACCGTATGGGAGGACGCGTCGTTTTAGGAAAATAGATTCACCGTCCACTTCCAACTTCACCGAAGGTACTTTCATGCCACCAACGTTATCGAAACACTGTACAATCAAATGTTGAAGACGTGAGGTGATTGGCATATCGTTGTTGGTGTGTAGCGTGATGGATCCTTGTAGTAGCCGCATTGCTCGAAGGCCCAGAATAGACGAACTGTGGGCAGATACCAGGAATCGGATTGGGATTGATACGCCGGATGCAGATTTAACACGCAACATCGTTTCACCAAGCAATTGCAACTGACGGCCAGTAACCCCATGAATGCGCTTAGAAGTCGGGGCTAGAATAGCATTAGGACAGATCGCATTGAGTGCTGATTTCGGCAGGATTGATTCGCTGCTTCCTGTGTCCATGATGAATCGACGCTCCACACCAGACTCGAACCTCAGTGGGGCGAACACGAACTGACCGTTGGGTTCAGTGGTCTGCAGCGTGTAGAATGGGCTTGAGTTCTCATCTGCCGTTGGGACATGGGAGTCGATGAGGTTTCATTTGGGCATTCGGCATACTTTGCGGATATGGCCCATCTTACCGCATGCATGGCAGAAAGCATTACGGAATCGACAAGTCGAACGAAGACGGTATTCACCACATGAATAGCAGTGTTTGGTCTCAGCCTCCGGTTGTGTTCGGCTTGAACTGGGTACTTGAGGAACCTGGGGTGAATTAAGAACATTGGGTGCGTCACGTAAGGGTTTCGTTGATCGTCGATGGAATAACATAGCAATATCCGCATTTGTGGCAGCACAAAAATCGACACTTTGCTCACAGATTTTTCGAGCCTCAGCAAACATGATATCTTCCAGCAGAAACTTTCGGGAACGATAGATTCTTCACCAGAGAATACAGCTCTCGGTCGCCCAATGTCAAAAATAGGGTCGACTGATTTTGCATTCCTCTTATCCGGATGCTGCACCACCATTCGAAACGTTCTACCCACTCTTCGACTTCTGATGGGCTACCGTGCGGGTTCAGTGGTTCAATGACAGGAATCTCCATTGTGTGACACCAAATTATGATAATCAGAATAGTATTGAATTTAGGAATACGAGAATCCGTACTATAATGCTCAGAACTGAATTGGCTCCAACCCAAACTGCGGACAACAATGAAATACACGAGGAATTGATAGCAGCGAATGCTTATGTTTATTGATGGAATTAGAACATGTTTTATACAAGGAAATATCNCGCGAATCGCTGGATCGTTGTCGTGTAATAATCGAATAGGAACCGGAATTGAACAGCGCGAACTTGAACTCGGATTGAAAACCCACTAAATCACGCAACGCAAGGTAAAACCAAGACGAGCTGTGGATACAGATGATTCTATTGAGAAAAGCACGCAAATATATATCACATACGATCAACAGTTATTGGTCGGTCCCTGGACGTCTAATACTGTGGTCTCAATTGACACCAACTCGATTGGCTGAATGCAAGAAGGCAAAAATTAAACCAAATCCTTGTCGATTGGACATCGAAGAATCGACCAATGATTGTCTGTTGCTTGTGATATATATTTTCATGATTTTCTGAATTAAAGTAACTGCATTCACAGCTCGTCTTGGTTCTACCTGAATTTGTGCTATTTAGTGGGTTTTCAGTCCGATACCGAGTTCGCACTATTCGATTTCGATTCCTATTCCGAGTACTACAAATTGTCTTGAATACGGACTACAATAACCACTAATATAGGTCCACGCACAACTCTTCTTGGTGTTTTTCTAACTGACCTTTATTCGCGTTGAACGATCTTGCTAACTACGTCGGAGATAGAATTCTGGAGGAGAGAACAAATGTTATGGAAAGATGCCTATTTATTTTGTAAGAGTTGTTCGATATGTTTATAGTATGAAGCTTGGATTAGCCCATTCGATTGTTCAGAGATACCAGGCACTCTTGACGGTCTTCGGTGTGGGTTTCACCTCTTGGGAGATCGTTAAATCCCCACGAGTGAAACCCACACCAAAGACCATCAAGAGTTTGAATATTCCCAGGATAGCATTCAGTGTTTTTATTTGATCAGAGATGAATTCCACTGTCTGTAACAGGGATACATTGGTGAACAGTGAGACGACATCAAAAAAATATCGTCTTCTCTTGCATATCTAGGTCTTCTATTTTAGTTACAAGCTGTAAACTGTCTCGGAGACTGTATGTGGCGAGTTTCCGACGGATGGGTTCTATTAATCCAACCAACCACGGCGACGCTGTATGATATGGTGAATTCATCATTGCCATAATAGGTCGTATTGGAACTCCTTCTTTGTGGATCATAGGGAGACCATACAATAGCGGGGAAACCGGACCCACATGGTTTTAGTCTCTCGAATGCAGCATTGTCTATGTGCCCCTGTAAATTTAGAGCCTTCAGTAGATCTGTGATTTCACCCCACCCCCCAACTTTTCTGTCTCCTCCTTTTCTTTGTTGCATCTAGAGAACTTTTTGTCATCGGAAATGATTTCAGAAAGCTTTCGAAACTAAACATTTTTATTCATGATAACCACCCCGGTGACTTTAACTGTTTCGTGCGACATGATGTCTTTGTTCTTTCTGATTTCCCTCAAAGGGTTTATATGCTGACGTGTAAGCGGTCCGTGGTCGTATATGTGAATCTTTCGGTATTTATAGCACTTTGTCACCAGCAACCTATAAAACCTTTCCAAATGCTCGTCTGAATTAGGTGTCAAATCCTTCGTTTGACCATATGTAATAATCGAATAGGAACCGGAATTGAACAGCGCGAACTTGAACTCGGACTGAAAACCCACTGAATCACGCAACGCAGCAGACACACTGGATGAGGAACTACACTTCATCCGCCAAACGCTACAGGGCAATGGTTACCCGGAAAACTTCATCGATAAGAATATTCAGCTCACTCCGGAGAAGGAAAACTCTACCTGTGTCCCCAAGAAAGAACTATTCATAAGAATCCCATTTAAGGGAGACTCACATACAGAGAGCCTAGTCCAATCATTGAGAACAGCTGTGAATTCCACTTTCCTCGCAGCCAAACTCAGACCAGTGTTCTCTACATCACCGGTGATGCGAACGCAAGTGAAATAGAAACTGCCGAAGCTGACCTCATCCATGATAATTTAGTCTTTTAAGTGCGTCTGTGGCGCATGTTACATAGGTTGTACGGTAAGGCGTTTGTCTCAGCGCGTTAAGAAGCACCACCCACGATGGTTAAGTCAGGGGAAGACAGGCTGTATCTCAAGTGCGATCGTGGGGCATCTCATTAACACCGGGCACAAGATCGAACCGGAGAAAGCTTTCGATATTGTTTATCGTATCCCACTCAATCGATCGAAGGCGGCCTGAGTTTGGACACTGGCCATGGGCGAGGCGATCGCCATTCGCTTACTAGGCCCTAATCTGTGTGCCCAAAAACGACTGGTGCAGGAGCTCCAATTGTCTTGGCCGGGTGTGAAAACCAAGACAGAACCTGACGTGTCACTTGACCCGGATGGGGAAAGGTCACATCAACTAACACGCTAAACAATCATACACACACACAC